ATACCACAGCACTGCTCTATCACATAGCACTGCTCTATACCACAGCACTGCTCTATACCACAGCACTGCTCTATCACACAGCACTGCTCTATCACACAGCATAGCACTGCTCTATCACACAGCACTTCTCTATACCACAGCACTGCTCTATCACACAGCACTGCTCTATACCACAGCACTGCTCCATCACATAGCACTGCGCTATCACTATACCACAGCACTGCTCTATACTACAGTGGTGTTCGGCCTCTTTGGCTTGTGATAAAGCCACCAGCCCTGAATAAGTTCGGGTAGGTGTTCCCTGAGTGCCCCACTCCAAATACATAGATGTGTGAATCTGCGGGTTGCATGGTCTCAATCTCACCCTCACACACACACACACACACACACACACACACACACACACACACACACACACACACACACACTCTATTCTGCAGTAATGATAAATGCCAGTTCGGCTCCAGCACGTTTCAGGTGCTTCAGATGAAAATAATTAGAGGAGGTGAATCTGAGCTTCGGTGGAACATGTAATTTAAAGATAATGTATATGTGTGTGTGTGTGTGTGTGTGTGTGTGTGTGTGTGTGCGTGTGTGCGTGTGTGCGTGTGTAAACTGGAAACATTCTGGAAAATCACATCATCTCTAATGGAAGCCCTAAAGCTTCCTCTCATAGCACGACAAAGAAAGAAAACGCCTGGGTGGGCTCTATACAAACATACAAAGATCTACATACACTAGCACTCAAATCATTATTTACACAATATTAATTATCAACATCCACATTAAATGTCTTTTTCCAAATATGTGGTTTTTTTTTATTTGTTTGAATTTGTAATTGATTATATGTTTACTTTTATACAACCAAATGATTAATTAGGAAAATAATCAACCAAAGCTGTTCCTATATCTCCGTTGTAGATCTTTCACTCCCTCAAGTAATTGTGCTTTTTCATTGGTTTAACAGCAGCAGAGAAAAATGCTCACAGCGTCCCACGACCGTTGGCTGCAATCTCTTTAGGTCATATAGTGTAAACGAGAAGCAAATACAGTCAGCGGGATGTGACCCCCCCCCCCCGAAGCGCCCCCCCCTTCATGGAACCGTTTGACTCTACATGGACCATCGTTTACTAAATGAACAGCATGCTGTATGGAAGAAGACTTGAAACTAGAGACTGAGGCCATAAACTCTAAAAATTGTTACTGAGGCAATAAACCAGGAGAAAAAAAAAGTCATTTGCTCATAGACTTGGTGGCCACCAGAGACAATGCTGGTTTTTAGATACTTCAGCACTGGTTTCACAGCCACTTACGGCCTGTGGGGATGTCGGTGGTATTAATTCATAATGCTCAAGCAGCCGGCTTAATGTTACAGTTTTAAAGTAGCCTTGACATTTAGCTTAGCCCCCAGAGATACATCCACGGCTGGCATACCCTTCACCTCTAAATTAAGGTCAATGTGGCCTCACCACTAGTTAGTGAAGAACTCTGGGAAATACGAAGGGTTCGAATTGGCAGTGGCAGGTAAAAGCACTTTGATGGATGGAGAAAAAGCAGAATAAAGTTCATTTAAGTTAGCATAAGATAGGATGGAGCTTTGTGTTCCCACACACAAATGCACCGCTGCTCACGTAATTCAGCAACCAGTGTTTGCATCAGTCGGATTAACTGGTGGACCATCGGCGAGAAGGAGCAGACGGAGAGTCGCTGACTCAGCGGCCAAGGCTTGGATGGAATCAGCTGACCCGGGATCTTAGTGTGGGAAACGGGCTGCTCCACCCGCTCCTCATCGGACCGACATCGCGGCCACACTGTGCTAAATGAAGACTCCGTGGCCCCACGCAGAGCTTACAGCGGAGCCGTTTGGGGGTTGCCAGCTTGGCTGGAACCACCCAGACTGGCTAACAGCTGAACCAAAGACTCGAGTAGATTAAGGGTCGTTGGTGACACCGACTACAAAACTGTGTTTGTACGAGGATGTGTCGGTCGACGGGAATGGACTCTGTTTTCGAAAGGCCATTGGAGGGGAGGGCACTTTCTCAGCACAATGGTTGATTCATGCGCCGCTTTCATGTGACAGCGGGATCGCCTTGATGCAACGTGGCGCCAGAACAAAGGTCGGTCTTCATAGAATCTTTAAAGTTACGGGAAAAAAAACCTTCCCGCACCGATGCAAAGCTCAGCCGAGTCCCTCGCCGGTCTGCTCACCGTAATGCACCGAGACAGCAGGGTTGAAACGTTCACATTTAAATCCCATGGACTTGCTGTTGCTCAAACCTAATGGGTTCATTGTAATTCACATGGCTTCGGTGTGGCCGGAACGTTCTGGCCGGTTGTACCGTGAGTAAAAAGTGTGCTAACTCACAGCTGAGCCCCCTGACGTCGACATGGTGGTTGTGAATACAAAAGCACTCCAGCTTAAGTGGTCAACGCGGCCCTATTAAAAAGCTTTTAAAAAACGCAGATGCAGCTGGGAAATTATGCTCAAAACTGAACGCAAAGCTCGATATATTTTCACAAGAAGGCACTCAACCCTCTGCCTGCACACTTCTTCTGTTACTCATGCATTTGCTGAAGGGGGCCTTGTGGTTTGCAGTAGTCAACACATATTCTGAAGAAGCAGTACTGTGTTGATAAAATAAAGAGTAAAAAAAAAAACAGGAATAAATCTTGGCTTCAACACATATTCGCACACAGCTCTTCGGTGGTCCATCATTTGTCCATTACTGTAAAGGTCACACCGGTACAGTAACAATTAACTCAGCATGGGATGCCGCAGGTATCCACTGACGTATACTCGCCTCTGCGTAACTCTGAGAGCACAGGGACCCCCGACAGGAAGGGGCGGCCGGTTGACGGGGCCACGCCAGCCGCTCGTGACGCACGTCGCCTCGCCTTCCCCCTTCTTTTGTTCCCCCCCCGCCCCCGTGGTAAATATGAGAGCGGCTATCTGACCTCCAGGAGCATCTCACCATTTCATCTCAGCAGAGCGCGTCAGACGCGATCACTGCACACATTTGAGAACCCGCAGGACTGCCATGAATGAGTAATGCAGCTGTCAGTTTCGCTCAGCTCCTCAGCTTAACATAAACTGCCCAAAAGCCAACACAAGCCGGGTGTCACAGCCGCCCTCAGAGAGCAGAGATAGACCCCAAAGATCAAATGCTGTCACGCTGCTGGCCATCATTTACTGTCGGGAATCACTTTGCACCTTCCTAAAGTCAAATGAGAGGCCGGGAAGTGCGTTTTTTTGGCAAAATGTGAAGTGAAATGCTGAATCTGTTATTCGTGCGGAGTAGCACGACAAGTCTAAACTTAATTTAAGGGCTTTAGTTAAAACGAAAAGGTCTCTAAGTCATTGAAATATGAATGTTTATTCCTTTTGAGAGAAATATGAACACACGATTAGCATTTTGTTTATAAATATTTTGTGCAAAGCTGGACATCTTGGCCCGACTGTGGAGCTTCTCCATAATATTAAGGTCCCTCTTGTGGGGAGCACGAATGACCTTAAACGCAACAGTAAAAATAATCACAATCTAATTAGATTTAATGTAAAAGTGGACACCCGGGCAGCTGACACTGAGTGTAAATCTGACCACAGACCCGTGGGGACGGAGACCCACAGCAGGTGGGTGGAGGAGAGGTGGAGCTCTTCACTGTTTTAACGTTAGCTAACTGGAAACTTGTGAAACAGTCCCACGGTACACGTCCCCTCGGAACTGCTGTCAGATGGCTCCAATTTCTAATGCGTTTAACGCAAGGAAAAGGAAGTCTCGCCTGGATACCCTTTGGCTTCGTTGGAAACATTATTCATTCCAAAAGAAATGTGAATTTCGAGTTAAAAAAGTAAATTCCTGATGGAATGTTGCATCCGGCTACAGCTCTGAACACAGTCACATGGCGATTATCGCCCTGGCAGCTTGTGTTCTCCTGTGGACGACTTCCCTTTGTTACAACGTGTCGTTGGCTGAAGGTTGTAGGTGCACGTTACCGAGTGTCCACTTGGAGGAGGCAGTGTTTTATGAACATCTCACATTTACTGTAAAGCATTAAAAGTCCTCTCAGTTGCTGCTACTGTACGACAGTCGCAGTCCCACAAACCCCCCCACGCCCGTCCATCACCGGGGGCGGACGAACAAGAGAAACAACTCAAGCTGGCTGTGTGGAAGAACCAGCCTGTTCAGGTACGATGGGCCTGAACCTCTCGGCTCATTACCCCCCCCCCCCCCCCCCCCGCTAGGAACCCAAATGACTTTTATGGTTTTCTCATAAAATGGCTACATTGATTTGGACCGAGAGCCGGAATGTTCAGTTGCAACCCCAAAGGAACCCTCACCGGGGAGAGGCTTAAAACAACGATTCAATGTTTTCCGTTCCCATGTTCAAACCCACGCGCAATAATAAAACCACTCCAGCAGCTCAATGCACAAGGGCCTCACGTCTGCCAGATGTGGGTCTTGTGTTTAGAGGCAGCTATCTGTGCAGTACAGCTGTGGCCAGTCAGCACTTTTGTGTTCTCCTACACACTCACACACACGCACACACACACACACACACACACACACACACACACACACACACACACACACACACACACACACACACACACACACACACACACACACCAGCAAGGCCATCCAGAAAAACGGATTTGCCAAATAGACCGAAGTGAGCCAAGAGATGCCGGCCTGCGTTGGACTTTGAGAAGAAAGGAGATGAACCGGTTTGCTCGACCTACACGACCTTCATTCTTCTCCACAGAGGAGAAACAACTTGTTATCCGCATCGCACCGACACTCTTCAAAGTGAACACTTGGAATGCGCAACGGCGGCATCCACGAGCCCCGCCGCCCCCCCCCTCCCGCGAGGACAACCGCAGCAGCCCGCAGACTAAAGTTCCGCCTCCACCTGGAGGAGGAGAGAGCATCTCCACCTGGAGGAGGAGAGAGCATCTCCTCGCGGAGCTCCTCAGGTGCGCGCGCGGCGGGAATACTCACGGTGCGCGGCGGCGGACGCTCCGCGCAGGACGCTCAGGGAGTAAACGGTAACCACATGCAGCAGGACGACCATCGCGCCGGCCGGTATTATCCGCCTGTCCGCGGACAGAGAGAGAGACGACATGGCGGCGCAGGCGGGGGGAGAAAAATAAGCCAGAAGTGAGAGGTTCCTCCTCGCTCCTCCGGCACGGAGGGATGGAAGGAGTCTGATGGGGAGAGAAGAGCAGACCGCGCTCCGACGACGACACTCCGTCACTGTGAGGCGCTGCCTCTCTCCCTCCTCTCTCCCTGCTCTCTCACCCCCCCCCCCCCCCCGGCCGGGGTGTCTCTCCCCGGTTTAAACTGTAGTGGCCGAATTAGACTCGTGGTGCCCCAACATCCGCCCAGAAAATGGGCCACATGGGAAAACTGTTTGCTACCACCAGACAATGGCATCACGCCTTTATTTTACCCGGTAACTTCTCCACTGCGAGGACCAGGTGAAAGCTCCCAACATGAGTGCTCTGGCATGTGATGAATTATTTTACCCTCACTCCCACTAGAGGAAGGGATCCAATCTTTGTCAATCGTCGGCTCCTTCTACTAATAAATGTTTTGTTTCCGTCTCAAATTCAAATGTGTGTTATTGGCACGAGGATGCTGACAAAGGAAGTGGCTCAAGGTGTGGACCGTAAGCACTAACAAGAGCAGGCACCTACTGCCATTGCAGCTTTAATGAGGGGGGGTGTAGCACCGAGGGGCCCCATTAAGCAGCCCATAGAATCGCACCTGACTTTGCTTGTTACCAGCAGTGACGGCTGGCGACGTTGTTTTCAACTTGTGGCGTCTTCATCAAGGTCCTAGAGACCACTACTGAACGAGCAACTCCCCCAGGGAGGCTTTCACTTCCTCCCCAGGTGGGAATAGTTCATGTTTGTGTCACGGTGTAAAAAGGAAGTGGGACCCTTGTGCAGAACCAGGGTTCAAAGGAAATAACTAACTAAGCTAAATAACTAATGAAGTCAATGCTGCAGGAAGGACCAACAGTGAGAACAACAGCCGAGACGCAGCGTGTAAATACGCCGGGGAGCCACAGATGATTGGACACAGGTGGGAATACTCAGGGACAAGGCAGACAACACCAAGGGGGGAGAAAACACCCCAGGGGAGGAAGTGAAGTTAACCCAGAGACACGAGAGGCTGGAAAATACTAAATAAGACGAGGACAACACAAACGGCGTGACAGTTTGCCTGTGGACGGGTTTTTGGACCGTCCCAAGATGAAGTCACCAACGTTCATGGTCCAGGTAGCCAAGCAGCCAGGTAGCTAAGTAGCATGCTAACCATCCGTAGCGTCCCTGTAGGGTTGTCTGTCTGACCCCCGAATGGGCCCCTCCGGTCTTCCTCCATCTGCTCTTCTGGTGGAACTTTATATTCATTTTCCAACACAGATTCTACAAGAAGTCCGTCGTTAATATCGTTTGAGTACAGTTGTTCCAATGTGCCAGTGGACTATATTTATCCTTTCTACAGTTATTGAGGTATTTTGACGTTGGTCAATGCGACGGACCAAGGTTTTGTGGTCGAGCAGCAGATTAGACTTTAATTAAAAAGAAAGCACAATCCATGCCGTAAAATCACACTAAAAGTACATAAATAATTAAAATGGAATAAAATGTAAATATAGAGATACTTGAACGTTTGAATGTGATGCCATGGTAATAGTAAGAGTCAAAGACCAGAGATAATACAAGTCTAAAGAGGAGACGGATTTGAAAGCAGCTCATTACAGCTCCATGTGTTGATCTGCTGGTTTACCCTGCGGATGCTTTTTATATGGCACGGACAGTATTTTCCCCCCAATTAAATACTGCATTTCTATTAGCCTGAGAGGGTGTCATCTCTGGTATCTGGGTGTCATTTAGCTGAAGAACGTGGTTTGAATGTGTTCCTACTGGCTGCAGAGCAACAGGAAGTGTTTTTCTGTTGCTTCTGTTGGCAGAACGGACTCAGTCTGTTTTTTTCACGGGTTTCCAGGTTTTACTGCGGCAACCAGACTTAACGGCCAATTGTTGGTCGCTCGTGTGGTCACTGAGTCTTTATGGCTTCATTCGTCTTAGTTTGTGATCGCTCATCCTGCGCAGATATCTGCCACCTAAGCGCGTCCACTGAGTGCTAAATAGTACAAAAGGTCGAGTTTGTTGTTGTGGATGTTCAGCGGCTGCTGCGCTTTCTCTTTCTGCCGGGAACTTCTCTCTGATTTTTTTTTTTTTTGATAACACGGAGATTGGAATGTCCTTAATTGATTACATTCATTTTTGGTTTGATTCAGTTCAGTATAAATCACATGTAACCGGTATAACCAAAATGAGAGGCTGATGAACTCCAATTTCAGATACCGATTTACGATTTGAAGAATTGTTTCCACACGCTCTGCAGCTAGCAGCTAACGGTGCTAACGGTGCTAGCAGCGCGTACGACGCAGGCAGAGGCAGACCCCAGGTTTGTGGCCACGCTGCTGCGTCTCACGCTTTGGAGCAGCCATGAGCCGTGTAAGCGAAGCACAGAGGAGCTCGGATAACAACACACAGGGGGGAGAGCGACTTCGTTCTCCGCTCAGGGAATAACTGCTGCATTTGTGCAACGCAAATAGTCGTTCGATGCCGTACGGATGCTTTGAATTTTGAATTTAGCCCCTATAAGTACAGTAATGTCAGAGCATTTTGAATACAGTTTACAAAGTTATATTAAGGATGTTAAAAAGACAGCATGTGATTTTGTATTAGTGTACAAAATACAAAATCCAGAATCCATAAACCACATACACTAACTGCGCAGCACTATACAACTACAGGATTAGAACATATTAAATAGAACAGAAAATATTATTCACGATTAATGTATGGAAAGGATACATCTCATGTGTGAAATGTGGATCACAGTGATTAATCTGTGAGGGAGTGATACAAACAAAACAAGCAGGGGGGGCAGAAGCACAGCACAGTTGCATGAGTTGTTCTCCGGGTTTTCCCTCAGGCTCTGACACATATCGCTGCTTCCCAAACAGCCTCAGTTCATTCCCCAAGTCAATGTTGAATTTTGTTTTAGTCCGAGAGTGTGTCAATTTGGTGTATTTCCTGGTACAACTCCAGCACGATGCCACGTAGCACCCAAAAGGACAGACGGACAAATCATTGCGAACACACCCATTAAATATTGACGCTATGAGTGGATGTGTAGCAGTTTAATATCTGTATATAATGGTAATGCCGAGGAGAATAGAAGAGAGGATATTAAGTAGGAATCAGAAGGAGGAGCCCTCCTGCTGTAAATCCTTTCAGCACCACGTTTGTGGACAGCTCCCCTCCATGCGAAATAAATGTTCTCCCTCCGACACTCTGATCCATTAATAAATCAAATGAAAAAAGAAATCATGGCTGTACGTGTTTTCCACTACAGCGACACATCATTTTAAACCGTATTATTTCCTTCAGCTTCGTAGAAAAGAACCGATGTGGAGATGTGCGTTCATGGGAAGTTACAAAGATGAGAAAATGGGGCTAATGTCGGATGCTGCGCTGCCAGGATATTATCTCCGGTGTAACTCTGTGAGTGTACAAACTTAACATGCAGGTAGAATAACAATTCCTCTTTAAAATGGACTTGTTGATTTGCTTTGCCACTTTGGACCGACGTGTCTCATACAAAGTTCCCAAACAAGCAAACTGCATTTCCAGTTATAGAGGGAAGCATATCTTCTTGGGCATTACAGCTGCACTTCTGAACATATCTTCAACCACTCACAAAGTTAATAGCTGCCCCTGGAATGTATTTTTATTTTCTTCTATCTGTGTCCCATCAACTCGGATCAGGAGAGGTTTGGGGCAATAGTGCTTTCCACTAACAAGTAAGAGCACTCCAGAGTGTTTCCCTGCATTTACGAACATCCAGATGCTTTCTAAGTCCTTGGTATATTGTGATTTTTTATTTATTGTGCAATATGTTATATTTATGTCCGTCTGTTTGTGCGTGCTGCCGACTCTGTGGGCTGACCCTTGTTCTCGAGCTGTACTGATAACAAGTCCTAGCTCACTGCAGTCATGCAGCCATTAAAGTCAGGTGAACCTGGCGTCATCTGACACTCTGGGAGTTGTGCGATGAATTCTTTAAAGCCACTTTTGAAAGAAGAAATACTTATTTTAAGGTGAATCCAGAAAGCCGTGGAACCAGCACACTTTCACGCCTTTAAATGACCACGCTCCACAACTAGCTAACAGGTTTACATGGTTGGGTTTAGAAAACTAAATAACAGTAATGTTACATTTAGGAATCTGCATGTTAGCAACTTTAAGACAGACATTCCCGTGTAACCTTTTTCTGTCGCTTTTTTGACTTGATGGCTTTTACTCAACACCACCGTTCCCCGTTAGCTAACCATTATCATTATATAGTGACTGACCACAGTCAGTTTGAATTTGTTTTTCATTGCTTTGTGAACAGCGTCCTCTGTGTATATATACATGTATAACATTGGAGCGCTCAGAGCCGCTGGCGTTGCCTACCGGTAAAGTCCGCCCTTGAACTCGCGAGGACAATTTCATCACAGCTGGGAAGTGTAATTGTAACTTCCGCCTGTTTTCTGGTTAGTTGGACAGCGATTTGTGAAGGAGAACATTGTCGCCCTCAAGGACACCGACGACAGAAGTGCTCGGGCCCAAATATGAGAGTTCTTTGCATCCGGAAAAAAAACCCCTCCTGCTCATCCATCATGTGCGAGAGCAAAAGTCTCAGCAGTGTCTGTGCTTCCCAAATTAAATCCCCCACAGTGCTGCATCAGAGGCCGATGCACTCGGTAGTTTTTGTGCCAGATAGAGGGACCTGACAGAGCTGCAATCAGATAGGTGTCACAGATTCCGGTGATATGTGAGCCCCTAAAAAGGGAAGCATACACCTTGCTCCCCCTAGATAGCGTTAGCAGCACCATTTCACAGCTGCCAAGCGGACAAAGGTCCTGCAATTCCAGCACCAGAGAGGGGAATTAGTCTCAGCGAGAATGGCCCTCATGTTTCTTCTGTGTTTTATCTGAGCTTTTGCGTCCACATAATGCCAACAGTTCTCACATTCAAATTGCCTGCGGCTGAAGTCGCCGAAACAAATGTTCCCTGAATGTTCCCCTCCTCTGCATTGAGCTCCCGAGAGCCATGAAAGGATCCAAGGGGGACGTCGCCGAGAGGAGCTCAGCTCGGACAATGCACACGGAAATGGCCGACTGACATTGTGAG